ATAGTAAGGGCCAACCACAGCGTTACTGTTGCATCATATACAACTTTATCTATAAGGTAAGAAGATATCTTAATAGTTGCTGCTATTAGTTGCGTTATGTGCAAAACCTTCATAAGAAGTAATGAAATGAATTGTTGTTCGCAGGGAAATGGTACAAGAATATTATTAGATCAGGGGGATGAGTTTTTAAAATTATATAATTATCTATGAAATACCTAAATTTCTCTTATTCCAAAAGTTGTTATTTTCACTATTGAAAATAATATGTTATTTTCACTAGTTAAAAAAACAACAACAACATAGGTTTCTCTATATAGTGGAAGTAAGAAAAAAGGTATTTTACGACATAACTTGCTTTCATATGTACAGCCTTTTGCAAAAATTATGAGAATTGTCTAAATATCTAAATATCATAATATCCATATCCATATATTGTACGGAACACGCGGGTTTGCTAGAATAATTCATTGTTGACATCGAGAAAATGTTCAAAACTACGGATAAGTCTGTCGCCAAAAAAAAAAACTAAACTACAAAGACAAGGGACTAAGGGCATCGCGCGGAATTACCCATCATGCACTCGATATTATGATATTTAGATATTTCAACAATTCTCATAATTTTTGCAAAAGGCTGTAATTATATGATAAACATAATATTGCATCGTCGCTTAGAGATACGCATTTTATCTTCTGTGTAGAAATTCGCTGCGCTCACTCGTGAGAGATCTTTTCGACACTCGAATAGAGCGGATTTCGTATGAGTGGGAAACGGACGGTATTGTACTGTGACCGTAATCGTACTGTAACCAAATTCTAGTGCCCCATTGGTTCACCAAAATTGTGCGGGCCAGGTCCGGTAACTGTGCGGTAATCGTACGGTAACGGTGTCCCACTCATACGAAATCTGCTCTATAAAATCTGTATCTCCGTGTGYCCATGTAATATCCTTTATTTATTTCATTAATTGTGTTTATCGTCCATAGATGCACGTCCAACTGTTTGGAGAAAATAAACCCCAATAAGAAACAGGTWTTGCGWGCACAATGTAGTGGCGARGGCTGTGGAAAAATTAGGRCATACGAATGGATGATTTTCTTGTTCAATGCATCCAATAGCAACTGGGARGCTCTTGAACAACAGCTTAACACAACAAGTATTTTAGAGGAAGGATTAACGTTCACAGTGAACGATTTTGCAGATTTGATTGGCTTYAACAATGTCCAGGATGAGTTCTACAAAGTTAAAGCAATAGCTTATTTTAATGAMTTCGTTCACATATCTTATGAASGAGAGTTCGTGTTAAATGCTGTTCCAGAAAGCTCCAACTCGTCAGCCTGCWCTGTWGTCCCAATGACTGGCTTGGCTATGGATACTTACTTTAGAATATCATGTGAGGATTGGAAAGATGAAGACTTACCACTAAACTTCAAGTTCCAGTATGTCAGTCAGTTTGGGTTAATAATGCTCAAATCTGGAATTTCAGACACTTTTACCACACAACTTCTTCCTGGAAGTAATGCATCAGACTTTATGATTGAAATCACTATAATTATTAGCGATAAATATGGAGCTTCCAATACSAGAAGCATTCCAGTAAGAGTGATGGTGCCTTCACAAGAAGAAGCAAAAAACAGGATCCAGAATGTCGATGGTGAACTAGATGAGTTAGTTAGGAAAGGTGATGCAAGCAAAGTCGCTGATATGTCATTGTTTGCACTCTCCTTGATGAAAGCCTATGTCCAAGACGAAGACACTGA